GTTAAAGATGTATTTGTTTGTCCCAAATTATCTACAAGTCTTATCTCTGTTGGACAACTTCTTGATGATAGATGTGACGTGAAATTCTCTTGTGATGGTTGTCTTGTGCAGGATCAAGTGTCAGGGGAGCTGATAGCGAAGGGGCCTAGGATTGGACGTCTTTTTCCTTTATACTTTCCTAGATATAACTCAGTTTCTGCTTTTGCATGTAATAAAAATTCAGGATCGGTGTGGCATAGGAGACTTGGCCACCCGAATCCTCGAGTTCTTTCTCATTTGTTACGTCTTGGTCTTTTGGGTAATAAAGAGAATATGTTTTCTCATTTTGATTGTGAATCATGTAAACTAGGCAAAAGCAAAGTTCTTACTTTTCCATCTAATGGTAGTCATGCTTCCCATTGTTTTGAGCTCATTCATAGTGATGTTTGGGGCATTTCTCCTGTTGTGTCTCATTCTCATCACAAATACTTTGTTACCTTTATTGACGATTATAGTCGTTACACTTGGATATATTTTCTTCGATCGAAGGCTGATGTTTTCAGAACATTTCAAAACTTTCTTGCCTTGGTAGAAACTCAATTTTCCACAAATATCAAAGTTCTTCGTACTGATTCTGGTGGGGAGTATATGTCTCATGAATTTCAAACATTTCTTGAATCTAAGGGAATCCTATCTCAACAATCATGTCCTTATACTCCTCAACAAAATGGTGTTGCGGAACGAAAAAATCGTCATCTTCTTGATATCGTTCGGACCTTACTTATAGAATCCAAAGTTCCTACTCGATTTTGGGTTGAAGCTTTGTCTACAGCAGTTTACCTAATAAACCTTCTTCCATCACAGGTCTTGGAGTTTGAATCACCTTATTTCCGGCTCCATAAACGTCATTCAGTGTACACTAATCTTCACCCTTTTGGTTGTGTGTGTTTTGTTCATCTTCCACCCACAGAACGTCATAAACTTTCTGCCTAGTCTGCTCGTTGTGTGTTTCTAGGATATAGCATTAGTCAAAAGGGATTCATGTGTTTTGATCCGCAAGAAAACAAGTTGCGAGTCTCCAGGAATGTTATATTCTTTGAAAATCAGTATTTCTATCATACTTATTTTCCTAATAACTCATCTTCTGTCATATTACCTACGTTTGAAAGTGTCTCTAGTCCTCCTAGCTCCAGGTTCAAAGGAATAGTGTATGCTAGACGCCGTCCGCCAGACTCTTTGCCACCTCCTTCCCTGCCATCAGATCCTGTGCCAGAGCTTCCTCTTGAGGATATGAGCACTGTGGAGATTCCTCTTCGTCGCTCTACACGACGTTCAGTACCACCAGATCAGTATGGATTTTCATCCTCTTCTCATGCTCTTGCTGCTACAGTAGCATCTGTTGTTATTCCCTCATGTTATTCACAGGCTGCCAAACATAAATGTTGGCAAGAAGCAATGCAGGAAGAATTGCGGGCTCTGGAAATTAATCAGACATGGGATGTTGTGTCCTGTCCTCTTAATATCACTCCTCTTGGATGCAAGTGGGTGTATTCGGTCAAAGTTAGATCTGATGGCAGTATTGATCGTTATAAAGCACGTTTGGTGGCACTCGGTAATCATCAAGAATATGGAGTCAATTATGAGGAAACTTTTGCTCCTGTAGCAAAAATGACCACAATCCGGACTGTTCTTGCTATTGCTGCCTCCCAGGGATGGTCTCTATGTCAAATGGATGTAAAAAATGCATTCCTTCACGGTGATCTCAAAGAAGATATCTTTATGCGTGCACCTCCTAGTCTTTTCTCTAGTCCCACCACAAAGGTTTGTAAGTTACGCCGTTCTTTGTATGGACTAAAACAGTCGCCTCGTGCTTGGTATGAAAAGTTTCGTGCTACACTTCAGCAGTTCTCGTTTCAGCCAAGTAAGCATGATACATCCATGTTTCTCTGACATACTTCTGACGGGATTGTAGTGCTTCTTGTCTATGTAGATGATATTGTTATCACTGGAACTGATCACTCAATTATTTCTCAGCTCAAACAACATTTGCATAGTTCTTTTCATATGAAGGATCTTGGAGGACTTTCATACTTTCTGGAGCTAGAGGTTACTGTGGGTTCAACTGGTATTTTTTTAAATCAAGCCAAGTATGCTCGGGATATCATTGAATCTGCAGGTCTTAGTGGCACTTCTCCAGTTGATACTCCTATGGAGCTAAATGTTAAACTTCGAAAAGATGAAGGAGATCTTCTTCCGGACCCAACAATATATCGTAGGCTTGTGGGCAGCTTAGTATATCTTACGATTACTCGTCCAGATCTATCGTTTGCTGTTCAGCAGGTTAGTCAATTTCTTCAGAATCCCTGTCATCTCCATATGGCTGCAGTTCGACGTATTATTCGTTATGTTCTAGGAACCGTTACCAAGGGACTTTATTTTCCAAATGGTGTTTCTCTTGAACTATCTGGCTATAGTGATGCTGATTGGGCTGGCTGTGTAGACACTCGTCGCTCCACCACAGGATGGTGTATGTTTGTAGGAACTGCTCTCGTTTCCTGGAAAAGCAAGAAGCAGGATCGAGTTTCTAAATCATCTACGGAGTCAGAATATCGTGCTATGTCTCTTGCTTGTTCAGAGATCATATGGCTACGAGGTTTACTAGCAGAGCTTGGGTTTTCACCCACCGGGCCTACTCCATTGCATGTTGATAACACTAGTGCTATTCACATTACTGCCAATCCAGTTTATCACGAGCGCACGAAACACATTGAAGTAGACTGTCATTTTATTCGGGAAGCATTTGAATATCAAGTGATTTCCTTGCCCCATGTATCCACAAATCTTCAAGTGGCTGATATCTTCACGAAGGCTCTTCCTCGTCAGCGGCATCAATTCTTTGGTGGCAAATTGATGCTTGTTGATCAACCAACATCAATTTGAGGGGGGATGTCAATCAGAGAATCAGTAGAAAAATATCTTTGTATCTTATTGAATCTTTGTAATTATAGGAAGATTTTATTTGGCATTGAGTGCAGGGATATCTTGCATTAATTGTAAGAATCCCCTGATTTGTTTCCTTGTACATATATTCACATGTTGCCTATATAAGTGTAAATAAACTGCTGAGCAGGGTAGCTCAAGCTTTCCAGCATTCCCAGTTCTTAGTTCTTGATTTTACTTCGTTCCTGAGTTTATCATTTCTGGTAAAATTAGTGACACTTCTATGATGTATGTTTGTACTTCCTTTGAGGCCTAATTCACTAGGAAAAACCGTAGGAGACCATGAGAGAGAATGTGTATTGATTAATGTCTTTAATGATGAACTGTTATGTACTGAAAACAATATGTTGAAATTCAAAATAAAGTTGAGCTTGCATTAGTGACATGTGTCTAGGTATCCAAAAAAGCATATCATTTACCTATCTTCCGAGTTTACCAATAAAGATATCCTATATACTACAACCATGTGTCTATGTTTCCATTTTTGAATGGTCTGAACATGTTAAGTATTCCACAAAAAATGTGAATACTTTACATGTTCAGTCTCCAAAAACATTCCAAAAAATATTTACTGCATATTTTCACTACATTTGTACGTTTGTTCACTAATGCAATATCTTCACTCCTGCATTTGTCGTGATTCCATACCTGACCCAATTCTTGTATAACCTCCAATGATGAACTTAGGTCCTTGAATGACCTTGGAAACAACCATGAACTTATTTTCCCTACATGTGGCACATTTGTAATTATTACCCCCTCATCTTAAGAATTTCATTCATACACAATTGTAGAATCAGCCACACATGATTCAATGAAATTGGATTAAACTTAGCATAAAAACGTTCCACACCCAAACATAGCTCATGAACTTAGTGCTTATGTGTTGTTTGTTGCATACTTGCATTGAATGAGTGAGCCTAAAACCCCAGGTCTAACACATTCAGTCAGGGCTTTTGGGAGGCTAGCAGATTAATTAAATGTTAAATCCATCTGAAGTGGCTTCTTTGATGACTCACTGTTAGTTGGACTAAAATGGGGTCTTGCATTGTCTTGTTGTATGTAAATATGATTGCTGACACAACTAAACCATTTAGCTTTTATAGCAGGCAAAACAAATCTGAGAAGACATTCCGTGTAAACATTATTTGTGGCCGAAACAATTGCATTCTCCTCAAGTGTGCCAGCTTCACAAGTGTGTGGGATCTGAACTGACCTCTTTGTTTGAGTCTGTGCACAAATGATTTGGATGTACTAAAGCTGCTGAAAGTGGTCTAAGATTCTTTCTGGAACTTAGATCAATATCCATCATTTTTGACATGCCAATGGCAAAGTGTTTCTTACCAACGTTGCCCTTCATTATGCTATCTGGGTTGATAAGAAGTCCAACAAGTTGTTCCTTGATCAGATCTCATATCTTTGTTATGGCCTTTCAGGTGGCCCCAAATTGTTGGTCTATTTTTTTAATGTTGTCTCTGATCATTTTGCTTTTCTGAAGACTTTGAAGAAGATCAGCAATTATACTTCTTCTTTCTTCATTAGAAAGCTTCTTGTACTTTGGCCTAGTTGCAATTTGTAATTCTGAACTTTCTGCTGTTTTGGCATGTAATAGTCATGTGCTGACTGGCTGCCCAGACTGCTACCTTTATAATGTTGATTTGGGGGGGGGGTCTGAATTTTAATGATGAAGTGCAAGGTTTAAAAAAAATCCCTCCATTTTGGAGCTATTTAAAGGGAAATCTAGACAAATATGCCATTTCCTGAAAACTGTCATATTTACTATTGTGAATAGTAAACATGTATGGTAAAAATTAACCCTAGGTAAATCCATGGGCAAAACAGACTGTCAAAGGGTGAATAGGGATTTTTCTTAAAATTCATGTAAATCAAAGTGGGTCTTTTTTAGGAACGGAAGTACATTTTTTTGCATTACACTTGAACCATTTCAATTCTCAATTGACAAAGGAGAAGAAGGAATAGTCAGTCCTCACCATGTAGGAAAAAGTAACATTAGAAAGTACCTGTAATGGTAGAGGTTCCTGGAAGAGGTAAAATCCGGCCATTGCAGAAGATAAAAAATTGGTAGCAAAACTCGTCACAGTAGCTTGTAGAGACGACAGAGCTTTAAGGCTATTAACATAGCATCCCCACATTATGAAGTTGAAAATTACAACCATGCTGTATTGAAGAACCTTCAAACAAATAAAAAATAAAAACAAAGAAGCAAAAATGAATGACCACTCATAGTAATTCAGAGAATGACAATGAATCCAGAAAGCATCATATCAATCCACACACAGACAAGCTACGAGAGTATCTGGTTCATTGGAATATCTAAACACATAAATGGAACGAAGTAATCTATTCTTAGACTACTAACATTAGTCATTATCAAGGAAACGTAATCTAATCTCAGACTCCTCACATTAGTCATTCCCAAGGTTACAAATGAAATGAAGATCGCTAATTGCGCAAACAAGTGAGTCTGCTATCAAATTTCAAAGAAGGAGTTATCATCAAGAATATGTTTGAGATCCATTATCTATAAGTTACACTAAACTAAAAATTAATATGTGAAGTAGTCATAATTTGTAGGGTTTATTTTTTGAAAGGGATCCACCTGGGATGGAAAGAGCTTCGCTGAAACGGCGGAGAGAGCGGCGCTGATTCCAGCGCTGATGGCCCATGCGTGGCCTCTCTTAATGTACCAGACCATTGGACCTATGAGAAAAGAGAAGTGTTGACTCAAGCGGCGTAGCTCTAGCTTGGGATGGATGGCCGGCCGTTAAGAATTAAAGGTTCCAAAGTGGGGTGTGTTTGGAACTTATTACTTCCTCCGGTTCTTAATTAAGTTCCTAGTTTGACTTCACACATATTAAGTAATAAATTTGACTTTACGGTGAAGTTCACTGCTTATGCACTGTTTGGCATTGTTTGAACACTGTTTTGCACTGTTTTGGGGTAAATCATTTGCCAAATAAGGAAAGGTTTGAAGTAGGAACTTTAATATGGATCATCCCAAAAAGGAAAGTAGGAACTTAATTACGGGACGGGGGTATTTCTTTTTTTAAAGCAGAAGCAGAAGCAGTTTTAAGGGGGTGTTTGGATCTGATTCTTCAAACTGCTTCTGCTCCATCAGGGAGCAGAAGCATAAGTTGGAGTGTTTAGGTGAAAGTGTAAAAGTGATTCTGGTGTTCTAATTTACTCTATGAATCAGTTTTTTAGAAGCTGTGGGAGACCAACTTCTGAAAACTGATTCTGATTTTGCTTCTACTTTAAAAAAGAAGCAGAAGCAGAATCAGTTCCAAACACCCCCTAAGTTGGTCTCCTCCTGCTTCTCAAAAAACTCTTTTTAGGAGTAAATTAGAACACTAGAAGTACTTTTACACTCCAACTTCTGCTCCTACTCTCTAAAGAGAAAAAACGGTTTTAAGAATCAGATCCAAACACCCCTGAATTAGATAAATCGGATTCTCTGATGCCATAAATCGGATTTTCAGAGGGAGGAACTTCAGGAGCCAAGACCTCTGGGACTAGGACAGCAAGGGCGGGGCTCTCGATTGCGGCGTCTGGGGTCTCCTGGGGGGCTTCGGGGTCCTTCATCAGTTCAGGTAACCCCTGGCTTCGGCAGAGAATGCTGGATCCCTTTTCTGCAAAAGATCGTATAGGGACTTTTGCATCCCATACTGACCAAGGTTGAAGCATAGGGTCCCTTCCTCATCCAGCCTGGTCTCACCATCAGGTGATCGAAGCCATTCATCGGCAATTTGAGCCATGCGCCCCTGGATCAGCCGCTCCACCTCAGATTGGAAGTCGGCACTGTCTTTATAAACTTGCACCGCCTCCAGCGCTTTCTGCCTCAGTTCCTCCACCACGACTCGATGCGCAGCCTCCACACTGTCCAGCCTCTTCTGCAAAGCATCTCCCCTCTACATCGATGCACCTAGCTTCTGCTCCAATGCGGTCACCTTCTCCTCTAATGCGGTCACCTTCTCCTTCAAACCCAATAACAGGACCTGAGAGTTGTCATGACCCTCCTCAAGGCGATGAAAGCCCGAAGAGGTTAGAATAAGGGCCTAAAAGAATAACCGTCCTCAGGAGTCAAATAACCCACGATGCAGGGAACGAAGATAAGAAATTAAAAATGTACCTCGGTAACAAAGCGAATGCCCTGGCGCATAGCGGCTAAAGGGGACATTCCATTCATCTCCTCAGCATCAATAGGAGGCGTGATTGCCAGACCCAAGGAAATAGGATTTACAGTGCGATTGAAGATAGAGGCAGAGTTTGCTTTCATGGACAACCGGACATGGTGAATTGGTGTCGGGGCTTTCCCCTGATTGCCACCATCTTGAGACTGAGTATCTGAATCGGAATCTAGGTCAATCACCTCTTCAGAGGATTTCAGAGTGGCTCTCACCTTCCTTCTGGGCCCGAAAATGGACTGTCGTGTCGGCCTCTTCCCAGCCCTTTTATCAATAAAGGACTGAGGGTCAACAGCTGGCATGGGCATTGGCACAGTACCATTTCTGGGGGAAGAATCCCCCAACCTCTCTGCAGCGGCATTGGCGGCCCCTCGGGTGGAGATCTTCCTAGAAGGCACCGGAATCCCCGGGGTAACCTTAGCATTGGCAGTCAGGCGTTCCAGTCGAGAAGCCATCTTATCACCCGCTGCATTAGAAGCAAGAAATGTTATCAGAAATCAAGATGTTCAAAGAGAAAAGCAAGGAAATAAAGCCAACAAAACCGAATCAAGTATGATTCGACCTGATTGATAGGTAAGAATCACGATCTTGTCCTCACCTACATAATGCCCCATTAGAAATGGCACCACGTCCGCAATCATCTTAGCGGCCTCAGCGTTCCCGTCTCCCAAGAATGGCATCACCCACTTCCGAATCAATTCCCCCCACTTGTTCGGGAATTGGAGCTTGTCATCCACATGGGTGACCCAAACCCATTTTTGCCTCCACCCATTGAAGGAATCAGGGTAGGACTTGGCTTCGAATAGGCGATGACCGGCCCGCTGGGAGATGGACAAATAGCCTGGAGATTAAGAACCACCAGGCCGCACAGAGTGGAAGAAGTGGAGGAAAAGATCGATACAGGCACGAATTTTCAGGTGCATACACCGGGCGATAAACCCGGCGATAAACATATGGGTAGAAGGGGAAAATTGGCCCGGGTTTACCCTGTAATAGCCCAGAATGCCAAGGTAAGCACCATGTAAGGGAAACCTGAGACCAACTTGAAGACTAGCAATGTGGACTCCAAAATGAAGAGGGGAAGGGGGCTCGACGATGTTTTGACCCGGAAGAGGGCGAGAACAGACTACGCTTGGGCCCGCAAGGGCCACAGCTTCGTTAAACTCTGCGTCAGAGAGTGCCACAGCTGGAACTTTCCGGGCATATTCGCAAGAAAGAAAGAAATGGGTCTCCACCCTGTCGGCGTCAACCGAGATTTGGGGCCGATTTGAAACAGCCCCGTCATCCGGAAAAACCTGATGAACAGGAACAGAGCTTAAGGAAGACATAGGGACTGACTTGGGAAAGGTGGAGGAAATGAAAAAGAATCTTCGAAACATAGGGTTCTTCAACTGACAAACAGAGCACTGGTGCGAGAGGAATTTGTGCGAAAATTTCATTTGGAGAAGGAAACCAGCGTTTAAATAGGCCCAAGGAATTAGGGTTTCAAAAACTGCTTGTGAAACAAAATGAGTGCTCCGAAATGGGAAAAGATGAAAAGCTGGATTGGAAAATGAGCCCGGCTGCAAGCCTACTTCGGCGCAATGAATGTTAGGCAGCGCTACAGTTGCCTATGAAAGATTCGAAATTCAAAATGAGATAAACCGCTCCATTTTACTCCTCCAAAATTCACCCCTGCTAATTTTAAGGAGTAGGGGGCTAGTGATGGTACCATGGACTCAGACCATGGCCCAATTACATAATTCAGCCCATAACGGGATCTGCCCTTAACGTGATTAGCCTCATTAACAGGATTAGCCCATAACGGGATCAATCCTTAACGGGATTAGCCTAATTAACACGATTAACCCATGAACAGGATCAAGCCCACAAACGGGATTAATGTTCGATATGCTGTCAGGCCCAAGCAGGATTAGGCCCACGATAGGAACCCACAGCCAGGACGGGCTGCACAATAGACTTCGAGCCTGGGCGGAGTTCTAGTGAGGCCGGGATATTCTTCGGGTTACGTGGCAAGCAGTTATTCGGTGTAGTTATTTGGCAACAGGCAGGACTCGTCCGGAGTTTGGAAACAAGAAAGAGACAATTAATGCTTGACATCCAAGGCATGAGAGGAGTATCTCCAATTCATCGAGGATATTTATCGTGGCATGTCCGATATATCTATAACTTATCCCCTCTCGAATACTCAATCGAGGAGTATCTCCAATTCATCGAGGATATTTATTAACAATGACCGTTCATTAACAACCCTTACTATTAATCAAATATAGAACAACGTCGTATAACGAGTTAATAGTAGCATTTAACCTTTCTAACTCCTTGATGAAATCAATTGAGATTGATAACCTCAACACAACGGTTTCGGTTTAAACAACAAAATTAATCCCTCTTAAGTTTATTAACCACGACCATGCATTAATAAACCGAAGTTACTTACTTGTGAAACCATCAACGATTAACCATCGGTTCGTTGATCGTTTCTAGTAATAATTAATGTCAAAACGTTAACTAATCGTCACTTAGTAACATTCCAACATTAATATAGAATGAGATTAAGGGAAGAATTAATAATCAAGAGAAGAAGTTAAGAAAATAACTCATAACTTTAATAATCAACAAGCTTCAAGAGCAAAACCAAGAAATGAGAGTTTAGCTCCTCATTTGGAGACTAAACATGCTAGAAAAATATAAAGAAATGCTATTATAAACTGAGCTTAAGAGTATGGAAGAAGGAATGATTTTAACTTGAAGGAAAAGGGGTGTATTTATAGGGAAATGGAGGTGGCAGGGTCATATACCCGACCGGGTATTTAGGGTACCCGATCGGGTACATCAGCAACTTCTGTGAACGTGAAAACATCAACTCATACCCGATCGGGTGTGTCGGTCTACCCGATCGGGTATAAGACCGGATCTTCAAATATTTTCCACCCATGATCCTTTGTTTCCTGGATTTGATTTTGACAATGAAATCGGATCAATACCCGATCGAAACAAAACATTACACCAAAAGTGTGTAATTTCCAAACTAACGAATAACAAAACTAATTAAAAACGTACAAATACAAACGGAAAGCAACTCCCCTGTACTTAGTTTCTTTACTCGTCCTCGAGTAAAGTCAAATGTTTAGAAGTTCCAAGTACTCAAAAGTTTCAACAAATAAGTGAAAGCAAAAGGCCACCAAGGACAAAACATGAATTTTACATTGAGTATGTAGCTCGAAGAAAAAGTGTTCTCTTGGGTTTCATGACCTTCTATGCTTGCTTTTTCTCCTCCTATTTGTATCTTCAAGAGATTAAAATGATGTCCTGCAAAAACAAATATATCTCTCATATCTCTCATTTTGGCTAGGAGCCTTTTCCGGTTTTCATCCTAGCATCTCTGATGGTCCCAGATTATGTAGACTAACACTCAGCTAGATGGATTTCATCGACACACAGAAAGAGAGAAGATCTGATAATGATAAGGCAATATCGAGAACAAGGAAATTCTTCTTTCTGTTTTATCGAGAAGTAAATTTGGCAGCGTAAGGCTAATGTGTATTGATCGATTATCGGTACCTGTACACAAGGCGCATATTTATAGG